TAATGTGTTCAATATTTTTATACAATTACATATAATTTGATATTTTCATTTTTCTTTCAATTTGTTAATTCCTTTGTTAATTTTTTTCAGTGATAATTCTCTTCGACGTAAAAATGAGAGAAAGAGACTAAGAAGGTTCAAAAATGCTCTGCGGTTTATACTTGAAGAAAATCAACTCTGGAAGATCAGTGGCAGGAGGGGAGAAGGGTTGAAATGCGTGTCGTACTCAATATCGGGGTGGGGGCTTGAAGTGAGGAAGAAAAGCGTCTTGGGTCTTCGGCTTTGTTGGAGAGTTAGTGTTCATTAGTGCTTCATCCTCGGTCGCGAACGGTCCGCGTTTTGCGCGTTCCGTCAATCATCGAGGTGCTCGAGCGTTGACCGGTGCATGTCGTAAGTACAATTGTGACTTAGTAAGCGCGTACCTTGCAACTTTGTTCTGCAATCGAGCAATCAGTCTACGTAAATCTAAAAAAAAAAAAGAAAAAAAAAGAAATAGACGAGAAAGAAAGGAAAAGGAGAGAGAGATGTGTTACCGTGAAGCCAGGAAATTCATACTTTCACATTCTGCGTACTTGTTCGACATATTCGCATCGTCCGTTTCTACGTACATATCGTATAATGCTAGCTCAGCAATATGTTATCTCTGATGCCAGTAGCTAGAAACTGCAATTGCTATCAAATATCAAAAGTTACAAGTCAAGCCGATTTATCAATGCGCCCTTGACACGTAATTGACTCATTTTGAGTTCAATATCCACATAAGGCGCGCATTCATTCAGCAGGAAAAAAGGCAGTATGTATGCACCTGTTGACAATTTGATTTTTAGATTTATTTAAATATTTCATTAAAGAAGCGAATTCTCTTCTTCCGTTGATCTAAAGTCAGATGAAAAATTTTTAAAGATTGCAAAAATCGCGGAGAGTTTAATGGATTAATTTAGCTAACAGATTAGCTCCAAAATACTCAAAGTTATTATTATTATTATTATTAATTAACTGATACTTCTTTAAAAAAAATTTTATCATCATTAATGTTATACATTGAAATGTTTGAAATGTCACGTGAGTTGTGAAAGACTTGGTGGATAAAAAATGAAAAAGCGAAGGAGATGCGTTGCTGCGTTAATTAATTTATTTATTCAGACGGCCTATATTTCCTTCTCGCTGTGTGTGTGTCAAATCTATTAAAAACATTAAATCTCAAAACGTCACGTGTTATTGAACTAACTAATTTGAAATATACAGGATCATGGATCGATATTCAGAGTCAGTTCTTATATTCAAGAAAGAGTCTTAAGTTTTGTCTTGAGAGAAGGGGAGAGAGGAGAGAGAGAGAGAGAGAGAGAGAGAGAGATATTTATGCCTCTTGCTGGAAAATATAAACGCTCGCAATTTTTTTGCTATTTTCCGTGAGAAGACATAGATTTTCGGACGCCTTGATATTCCGGATCATGAATAGAATTTTTCTTTGCACTTCAAAGTTTGTTGCTCTTAAACACATGACGAGAGAGTTTTTTCAGACAATTCCTTGATGATCCGTCTGGGATCCACCATGTGGTTAGAGAAAAGTCGTCGTCCCGCTTCGACAGTGTTTCCGAATGAGAGGAATTAAATCGGACTCTAAATTGTTTGATCGAAAGCTTTGTGAAGCATGCGACAAGCTTCGCTCTAAAAATACATCTATAAACAAGCAGTTGAGAATATCTTCCTACGCGTTTATAGAATAACTGCTTTGAGCGCTCATTGATGTTTCAAACGTTTTCGCATTTCTGCATCTCATCATTTTCACAAACGTATCGATTGATTGCTTACGTCATCATTGAATATACATATACTTTGATAATAAGAGTAATTTCAGTTGCTAACTACTTAGCACAGAGTGACGTAAAAACTTGCAGGTATACAATAAGTACTTTTCTATGATATTTATAGATTTACAGTATCATCGATACTTCTTGATGTTTGATGTCCTTATATTTTTTTATCGGTGTTGTCAATCAGTGATGATTTTAAATAAGAACAACACGCGTAAATCACATGGTCACGGTTTCATATCGCGGTCGTGTCACGCAACAGAGAGGAAGTAGTGTCCGCCAATCTAAAATTAAATATAAATCATCTTCACGCGTTTCCTGTCTTGATCTTTTAACCCAATTTTATATTTTCTGTCTTTTACTCTATTTAATTAAACCATCTGCGTTAAATGTGCGTGATAGACATGATACACTTGGCAAAACTAATCATATTAATTCCTTATCTGTTTAATAAAAAAAGATATCTGTTAACGACTTTTAATTTTCAAATGGATAATGGATCATCAATGTGAATTGGATATTCTTATCCGTAGATATTATTTTCTATTTTTTTTGTGTGTGTGGGACAAACTTTTCCTTATGTGCATTCCTTTACGATCTAAAAGTATTATTGAAAATAACTTAACGATAATTTTCTTGGAAACATAAAATTGTCTCTACAGTAAATTATTCTGCAGTAAAAATGCAAGAATGTTGTGTATCGATCCTTGTGTATCGATTATACTACGAAAAGGCTATAAATTAACTTAACTACTTTACTGTAATTGAGTAAGCGTTTCTTAAATCATTTTTTTGTTCAAATGAAATAAATAGTTATTGGAATCTCTCATATTGCTATATGTTAAATTGATAACACTTGATTGTATTATTAATAATGTCATAACAGTATTAACAGATTTCGTATAAGAAGCATGTTTTTAATGTTGCTGAAAACATTAACGTAACTTACATAAGCAATAACAAAAAATATTTTCTTAATTTCGAGATTTATTTCTTTCAACTGGAAAATTGGAAATGAAACGCTTAAAGCTTAATAAGTCAACTCTCCGCCGGGGTCTTTAAAGGTACATCGATATTTTGATTGTAAATTTTGGTAGATGAATTTAAATCTGTAAAAGATAAATAAAATACAATTTGACTTTTCTGATGCTAAAAATTTGTTGTTAAAGCAAGTATACTTATAGATTTTTGTCGGGTTTTTAATATTTTCTGGAACAATAAAAAGTTTGCTCTGTTTTTTGAAGATCCCTATTGAGGAGACAAAAGATTAAAAATTTCTGTTGCAAAAAAGAATTAATTATATGTGATTGCTTGTTTGTGTAATTATTTAAAAATACTGAATGATTTAATCATTCATCTCTCTGGTAAGAGGTAGTAAAGTCCATTATATTCTATGAACATAAACATTGGGTCGAAGTCCACACTTTTATTATCATTCAAGAACTTCATTATCTACAAGAATTTTATTATCTCTTCTTTGATCAGTATACGTGAAGTAGCAGACATATTGATGGTAATAAAGTATTTCAATGACGTAAATTAAAGCTATATTGTGCATTATTACAAATAAAAAATAGAATAAAAAAACAATTAAGAGCCTTAACACGCGATAGTTGGTGGGATTATCATACATATATTCCGATTGTATCTATTATTTAATATATAAAACTGAACGTTTCGGCTATATTTATTAAGTTGACTCTGCTTTTAACACTGCGAACGTTATACAAATAATTTAACTTACAAATAATTTAACTTAATTTTATTATTACATTAGTTTATATTACATCGCTTAAAAAAAAACGTTGTTTTCTTATATATACCGATTATTGCGAAGAATAGTACTAAGATCTCGGTTTTTCTAAAGGTTTAGGACACTCGTACGGAATACAAAAGATCCGAGTTCGACTTCCGGTCAAGGTAATCTTTTTCGCAATAAATTTAAGAGCCTTAATATGCGGTAATTGGTGCGATTATCATTCGGTTATATTTATTATTGTACATAATATACAAAATTGAACTATATTTTGACTATATTCAAGTCATCCTCAGCAGTCTCTAATCATAGACAATGCAATAATTGATAACAATCCAATTGTCATAACGTCAAACAAATCGAGCGCAGTAAGTAAATCTCACAGATTATCATATCTGGAGTGTATAACCCTCAGTTAGTTGATTAACTAAGTGCGAGTTACTGCACACCATAACTGCACAATAATATAAATTAAATAAATTAAAATTGACAAAACGCAATTAAACTACTGTAATAATCACGAATTGAATTAAAGTTACAAGTAATTTTTAATAATTTGATGCTCAATCAAGCGTCATATTAGAAAGATGTACTGAAAAACTGTAAATAAATTTATTGCAAAAAATATTACCTTGACCGGAAGTCGAACCCGGATCTCTTGTACTCCGTATGAGTGTCCTAAGCCTTTAGAAAAGCCGAGACCTTAGTAATATTCTTCGCAATAATCGGTATATGTAAGAAAACAACGTTTCTTTCAGGCGACATAATATTGTATAAACAATAAGAATCACATTTTAGACCGCACATGTGAGAATACAATCAATACGAACTAAATATATCTATACCGGCTAAAATTATCCTGCTTTATCCTGTATATATGAAGATATAAATAAATATATAAATATTTATTTATTTATTCGTATCGTCTCCAACGTTAATTTATTAATATATGCAAAAGAAAAAAAGGGTTGATGATAACATTAGTAAGTATATCATGAATAGTCCAATGAAAGCGCTGAAAGCGATCACATAGAAACGGAAAGAAACGCGATTGTTTTCAGTACGAAAGTCGAGCTTGTGAACGTTCGCACATACTGTCCGGATCTCTCTTGAACTTTGCGCATACAACTCATTCTGTACATGCAACTCATAATTTGCTTATCAATGCAGCATATTTAAAGAGGACATAGTCCTAAATGCTTTCCTGCCTCCCCTCCCCCCCCCCCCCCCCG